CATGCAGGGATATATATAAAGACATAGTCACATGAAGATATACAGAACAAGGCATACAGAGACATATGGATACAGTCATACAGAACAAGGCATACAGAAAGATACCGACACAGTCATATAGAGACATACAGACACAGGCATATACAGACATACATAGACGTACAGATACAGGCTTATAGAGCAGGGGCAGGTCCAGAACCTAATCTTGGGAGGGGGACTGGTAGTGAGTTATAGTGAGGTGATAGGGTCTGTAGTTCAGGAATTAGAGGCTTAGTAGGGGGCTAGGGGCATTATTGGGGGTACAGGGACTGTATTGGGGGACAGGGGCCCTAGTTGTGCCCTAGATGTAGTGGGGGATAGGGGCTGTAGTAGGGGAGTAAGGGGCTGAAGTAAGTTGATGGGTGCAATTGGGAACAGGGGCTGTAGTGTGGGGGATATGGGCAGCAATTGGGGGAGAGGGGCTGTTGTGGAGTTATGGGGTGTAAAAGGGGGTTAGGAGCTGGATGTTGGAGAATAGAGGCTGCAGTGGAAGGGATGTGAAGTAGGGGCTGTAGAGGGGGGCATAAAGGCTATGGTGGGGGCACAGGGGCAATATGGTGGGAAACGAGCAGTATGGTTGAAAACAGGGGCAGTAGAGGAGGGACGGTGAAGTAGACTTTGGGGCAGTTTAGTGGGGCACAGGGTCTGTAGAGGGGAACACATGGGCTGTAGAGAGGGACACATGGGCTGTAGAGAAGGACACTAAAGGAATAAGAGAGTGGCACATGGACAGTATAGAGGGGTAAAGGGGCAGTAGAGGGGGATAGGGGCAATATGGTGGGTGAACAAGGGCAGAGGCTGTAGGGGATCAGGGGCTGTAAGGGGGGAAGAGGTTTTAGAGGGGGGCAGAGGCTGTAGAGGGGACAGGGGCAGTAGAGGGGCACAGGGGTAGTAGAGGGGTGACAGGGGCTGTAGAAGGGGGACTGGGGCAGTATGGTGGGGGCAGAGGCTATATAGGGAAATTGAGGGCTGAAGGGGGGGCACAAGGGCAATAAAGAGGGGGCAGTGGCAATATAGTGGCTCTAGAGGGAAATAGAGGTGCTGTAGAGTCAGCACAGGGGCTGAAGGGGGCACAGGGCAGTAGAGGGGGGACAGGGGCTGTTGAGGTGGGCAGGAGGGTAGTAGAGGGGTCAGGGGCTTTAGAGTGGGGCTGCTAGAAACCAAACAAAAAAAAGTTTTGATTTAAAAAAAAAAGCATACTAAAAGGTCTTTACCCCTCCCTGAGGCTTACCTTGTGCCAGGGAGGGGGGGAGAACCTTATCCACGGTGGTTGGGTGGGACAGACTGGACAAGATCTGAAGGCTGAAGCTAAAGCTACAGATGCACTCAGGACCGCTGGGAGCAGTGGAAGTCACACCCCTCCTTCTGACTTCACTGTCATGCTCCTGCTGTGCTGGTTGCAAGAGTTTAAAAAATCCAGAGGCAGGAGATTTGGATTTTTGCACCCATCTGGTGCCCTAAAGTCTGTGGTGCCTTATGGAAGCGCCGGCCCTGATGACCAGTTGCAGACTTGGGCATGTGCTATTGCCTGAAATTTAGATGGGAATTTCGGCTATTCCTCTCTCCTCTTCGGAAAAGCTAAGTTTGGTGTTTACATTACTGCTTAGGAACACCTCTAATAGCAGTCACTCAGATGGCCACTAGTGGTGCTTCCAGGGTCACTGCTGATCAATGTGCAGGACTGATGTTTAGCATCTTTACGGTAAAACGGCGCATTTAGACCTATAGTGTAAGGAATACATGCTTATATTGCTGACACTATAGTGTTCCTTTAAGGACATTAAATTTAATGTAAGTGTCCTTTTAATTGCTTTGTTGTTTTACTTTTTGCATGTTTTTTAACTCATTAATCATGTAATACATAAAGAGATAATCTTATGATGTTGCATGTACTATACACTATCACACTTAGTATTCTTATTCAGTCAAAGGAGACTGTATGTTTACACTCCTTCAATCCAATATCATTTTCATTCCTTCACAATAAATACTTCTATTCTTCAGTAGTTCGTCGATTTTCTCCTCAATTCTTTCTTAGAAGTATGATAACCTGCTTTTTCCAAGCATCATTATTTTGCTTCTTTCTATGGAGAAGATTCATTCTGTCTTGTATTTCACAATCCCTGTCTCCCTTCCTATTCATATTCGTTTCTATTTTTTTCTGTCTCTCCTTCTCCTTTCATTTTATCTTAACATCTTTTCCCTCAGCCCTCCTGCCCAATCCACCCAAAGACACATTGCAGCCTCTTTACATCAAACAGAGCTGGAAAAAAAAATTACATCTCAGTTCCTATTAAACAAAAAGATAGACAGATGGGGAGAGAGGTGAGGAGGGATGAGAGAGACAGAGAGGGGACACTCAGCATTGATTTGAGAGAAATCTGGAGTAATTTCCCACAGGTCGAGGAGCTCTATAAATCTTTAACAGGCTGTGTGAGTGTGCAAAGTAAGAACATCTGTGGGGGGAAGCACAGCAAGAGAAATAAGGCAAAGCTGCAACAATAACGAACACCCAAGAGTGAGCATTAACCCACTGAAATCTGACAGTTATTGGCAGAAGGTTTCATAAGCTCTTTGTTGAAACACAGAACATAAGATATGTTGAAAGTTATATTCTTGCTAGCTAGCTGGAGAGTTCTGAAAACGGTATCTTGCCTGCTTAGGAGCCTCTATGTGGCATTTCTTTTAATGTTACTAAAAACCACGTTATATAAGACATAGATTTGTGTTTAACCCCTGAAGGACACAGCTTCATTTTGCTTGTTTTGTTCTTAAGGATACAAGCAATTTGTCATTTTTGTTATGGGTGTTTTCTATTACTATTTCAATCTTTCTCATTTATTGCACCAATGCATTATATATATATATATATATATATATATATATATATATATATATATATATATATATATATATACACACACACCATTTTTTTAAAAGGGTAAAAAAGCATTTTAGTTTGATATTATATATATATATATATATATATATATATATATATATAAATTCTCATTTATTAAAAAAAAAATCAAAAATGTAAAATTAATATATATATTTTCATGATTTTGGCATAGCTAGTGGTAGTTTTGGCATAACATGTTCATAATTAGTGTAGCATAAAAAATAGTTCCACATTAATTCATTTGTACTGATTTACAGATTATACACTATATCTAGGATTTCAATTTATTTTTGCTCAAAAAATACAAGGGGGGGAAATACAATTTTAATGTGGAACAATGTTAGAATTTGGTGTTTTTCTTCCACGTTTATTATATATATAGTTGTCACAGGCTTTTTACCTATGGGAATTTTGACTCTTTTTGCATAGCCATTTAATTGTCAATCTCAGCTCACATTTTTAGTAATATAGTTTTTTAAAAATTTTATTTTTAACATACACACATTTAAGAAGGCTTTTTTAAATGTCTATTCCATTAACCTGATGTGTGCTACTTCTGTACAAAACCCCACATTTTATCTCAAGGCACAGAGACTCATATTGCGAATTTATTTTTCTTTACTTTAAGGGACACTATAGGCACCAAAACAACTTCAGATCATTAAAGTGGTTTGGATGCGGTGTCCCTATTGTCCTAAGTTCTGCAATGTAAAAGATTTAGAGAAACTAAGACAGCTTCCGGGATCTTACCAGATTTTAGGTTGCCTAACTAACACTGCACTTCCTCACAGACGTCCAGCATCAGATTAAATCCAATGGGAAATCATTGAATCATTGATTTCATATGGGGAGAGCCTAAGGTGCTTAGTAGTTTTGCAGCTTGCCTGCCTGCTGTATTTTAAACTACTGCAGCCTTTTACTTTTGGCCTCAGCATGTCTCAATCAAGACAGGCTGTCCCCAGTAGGGATGTTGGGGAATATCACTCCCCTGACCCAGAGGCCTCTATATTTGGCTACAGGGGATCCGCTCCTTTGAGATGCCCATTTGGTGAGTCACCATCTAATATACCTTTCTTCCCACTTACCTGTAGGGGGAAGCCTCATCCATTTTTCTCTAGCTTGGTCTGCTGTCAGCTCAAAAGCTTGGGTCCTCAAGATGGTTCGGGGGTACCGTATAGAGTTTGTGCAACCCCCAGTACAGTTGTGTCCTTCTCATTCTATTATTAACTCCAGGTCCAACAGGTGCATTGGTGACGCAGAACTAGAGGAACACTGCCTCAAAGGGGAGGTGGAACACCCACACCAGTTCTCTGAATGCCCTGGTATGCTACAGTCACTTCAAGATGGAAAGGGATTCACTTCCTGCATGACTTACTCCTCACCGGGTACTGGATGGTGAAACTAGATCTCAAGGACGTGTATATCATAGCCCCCATTGCCGTTATGGAGACCAGGGTCCTGCAGAGTCGAATGCGAGTCTTCATGGCTGGGAGATCGTTGGTCTCTCTACTTGGAGTTACTGGAGCATTCCTTCACTCTTCTAAGTTTTCAGACTGTTGTGTCAATGTCTGTGCCAGCCTCCGTATGGATAATGTGTCGGCGGTCCTATACATTAACCACCTGGGTGGGAAACACTCTTCGGTCTTGACGACACTTGCATGAGACTTTTAGGATGTCTGTTTGCCACTGAACATCATGGTATGGGCAGAATACATTCACAGCTACTTAAATGTCCTGCTGGACCCCAGTGACTGAAGGCTCGACCCTTCTGCTTTTGACTCCCTTCTAACACTGTGGGTTTGCTCTGCCGGAATATGCTCACCTCTCCTCTCAACCGGCAACTCCACCTCTTCTTTAGCTGGTGGCTGGATCCAGACTATCTAACAGTAGATGCCTTTCGTTAGGACTGGAGTGGGGCTCACAACTGAGCTTTTCCCCCATTCTCCATGCTCCCCGGTATGCTTATGCAGTTCTGTTGTCGGCAGGAGATGATTCTTCTCTTGTTTTTTTTTGGGGGGGGCAGGGCAGCCCTTTTTCCTTCAGGTACTGGAATTGGCCATCGACATTCTCTCACTGTATAGTCTGAGCCCTCTTCTCCTTCAAGACCCCAGTGCCCAGTCTCTTGGCTTCAGGAGTATGAATGCATGACTGCCTCCTACCATCTTCCTACCATCCGCCTGATGCTTTCCATTTGTTTCTTAACTTCCGTCCTCCCTTTCAACCTGTCTGTGATGAAAGGTCTATTTGACCTATTTCCCTTTCACCGTTCGAGATCTCACAGTGCCATTTTGCTACCATCGCAAGAGATGGAATAGGCGCAGGCAAAGAACTATGTATGTAGTTCATATTGCCACTACCCTGACTCGCAGAAGCAGGGTAGATTTATGATGATCTCAGGACACTGTATAATGGTAGATCTGTGTTTTACCTTGGAACATGTAGGATTACCAAAGGGAAATTGAACAGTTATGCTAATTATTATTAAGCACTGCAGAATAATTTGGCGCTATATAAATAACAATAATAGTGCATGTATAATGTGTTCAGTTACTCTTAGTCTCAGGTGGCCTCAGCTTGCTGCGAGACTGTCTAATTGTCACATCCTGTTCCTAGCTGCGGATCATTTCTGGCAATGGCTTCTGGTATCCAGTACTCTTTTTCCAATTCTTGTTTAGTTTTTCTTGGATTATTTGGTTCTCTTTTCCATGTCTGATTTTCTTTATGCTGGGTTTTCTGGGTTCATTCCTGTATTCCAGTCTCTTGGATTCCTTTAAATGTTAGTTTTTTGTTGCCACACCCGTTCCTTTCCCATTTATCTTTTTTGTTTCAGTCTGGTCCTGCGAGCAGTGGTTTCATCACTCTGCTCCTTTCTTTGTAGGTAAGTGCTGTGTGTGTTTTATTATTGTTTATTTAGTCATGTATATCTAGGCAGTTAGGACCCACCGTAATTGGAGTACTTTGGCGCAGTGGTGGGCTGCATACATCTTGGCTATTTGTGTATGTCTAAATCTCCAATGTTTATTGCACATATTAGTACTTAGTTATGTCTCCTCTTGTTTTGCCTTGTATCTCTTGTCTTGTTTTATTTTGTCCTGTATTCCCAGTTCATGTACAGTCCTGTCCTGTTCATGTTTCCCTCTTATGTATTGTGTACATGTTCTGGGTTCTGCTTTCTGTCCTTCTCTGGTTCTGGGTTCCTCTAGTCTTGTCTTGCTATCTTCTTTGGTGCCTGTTCTAGTCTTGCCTTTTTTGTAGTACTGGATACATATCTGCTGCAGAGCCTCCCTATTCAAATCCTGGGAGGTCTGCATTTTGTCATCTGGCATCCGCAGAAGCTGCATCAAGGCCCTGGTTTGTGGCCGCACAAACGCTGGTGCTCAACACCAGGGGGTGTGTGGTTACTCAGCACCAGGCCCTGATAATCCATTTCCACACAGTGTCTCGTACTATTAAGATAAGGAATTCTGGGTCCTGGGGGTCCATGGGGTTAGGAAATGTACCTAGCAAGCCATGTAATATGTTTAACCAGCACAGTGGGAGGTGGGACTGAGCCAACAGTGTCACATGCTGCCTATTGTAAGCTTAAAATAAGATAACCCACTGTAATTACTGTACCTGAATAATCCTTCCTGTATTATGCAAACAGGTGTATCATGCCTGTAAATTTAGAAATGTGTGCTGTGTGCTCATAAAATAAAGGAGTTTATTGAAGTATCTTGCTTGTTTCTTTCTTTGTTTTAACTACCTTTGGTGCGATCACTCATAGGCAAATTGCTAGTAATGGTTTTTAGTTAGATAGAATATCCTGTAATACCCGAAGCAACTCTGTAGTATATCCTGTGTTGTGGACAAAAATATTAACCCAATTCATATTAATAAAATGCCTATTTACTCAGCATAACCACAATCAGCATTATTCAACCTTAGTTACATAGTTACATAGTTACATAGCTGAAAAGAGACTTGCGTCCATCAAGTTCAGCCTTCCTCACATTTGTTTTTTGCTGTTGATCCAAAAGAAGGCAAAAAAACCCAGTTTGAAGCACAATTTTGCAACAAGCTAGGAAAAAAAATTCCTTCTTGACCCCAGAATGGCAGTCAGATTTATCCTTGGATCAAGCAGTTATTACCCTACATTGAAAGATTATATCCTTGAATATTCTGTTCTTGCAAGTATGCATCTAGTAGCCGTTTGAACATCTGTATGGACTCTGATAAAACCACTTCTTCAGGCAGAGAATTCCACATCCTGATTGTTCTTACAGTAAAAAAACCTTTCCTTTGCCTTAGACGAAATCTTCTTTCTTCCAGTCTAAACGCATGGCCTCGTGTCCTATGTAAAGTCCGGTTTGTGAATAGATTTCCACACAATGGTTTGTATTGGCCCCGAATATATTTGTATAATGTTATCATATCCCCTCTCAGGCGACGTTTTTCTAAACTAAATAGGTTTATATGTGATTTACCTAAAATGGCCGCAAGGGAGATTCCCTTTGACATCGACTAACACCCTCATTAACAAGATGGCGTGGGAATCTGGGGGAGACCTACAAGATACCAGTGACATCACACCCGGTAGGAAGGGCACTAAATTAACCACTTAACACCTAACCAATTATTAATGTATTATTCCATTTTATCTCTGACAATGCATATGATGTAATTTTGCTTTATAAGGGGCATGGGAATTTACTATAGCTTGACTGCCTAGCGGGCAGGGAACGCATCCGCCTGGTGAAGGGCTGGGAACTGCCTATAGAAAGGCTGGGAATTTTGTCGTACTCTTCAGAGCAGAACAGGGTTTTATTTACTGTTTAGTTGTTACTATGCTCGTTGTTATATTGTTCTTTATTATATTATGTTTTTTATTCAATTGTGGCCATAGTGTGGGTACCCTCGCTGTGTGTGTGTGTGTTGTGTGGCTCATCCTTGATTCCGGATTATGTGCACATCTCTACATCTATGACTCTTGTAAAAGTCTTCTGATTAGTCTCTCCACGTTCACCTTTTCCTTCATTCTCTACCTCTTCTGTACTTTTTACCCAGAGCTGTGTTAGTCACACACGCTCACCTGCTCAGATCCGTGGCCACAATCTCGGGTGGGCGGATCCAGTGACTAGTCTAGGTTTAGGGAAGACACACGAAGATCAATTCCTCGTGGCAGTCGAGCACTGTAGACATTCCTTCTTTTTCCTCTCTCTCTCTCTGTCCCTTTTACGTGGGAAGACATGTTTGGTAAAATTGGGACAAGAACACGCCAGACCTTCCAAAGGCTACTTAGCTTGTGACATAGTTAAGGAGAGAGCAGGAGAAGAGGCTATGTTAAAAATAAAGAAAATAGCAAAGATTTGTGACTTCAAATGTCACCCAGTGGTAGATTACAGCCAGAATTTTGGAAGAAATTGCTTATTGCCAAAGAGGGCTTATTGTTGGATAATGGGTTAACGAAAGCCGTGGAGGCAAGAGGACTCAAGCGGGAGGGTTGGTTAGAGGAAGAACTAGATTTTGGAGGACAATCGAATTATGTATATCATAGAAATGCTTGTAATGATGATTCATCTCTTGATGTTCCCTATGATGGCGCCCAACACAATGTGAAAGAATCTGACGCCGCCTCCCCAGCCACTACCCAGTCATCACCTCCAATTGGCGTAGGCTCCTCTGTACCCACCCCTCTGTACCCCGTCCTCGGGGTGGACGGATCTTATTACTATCCCGTCCCTCTCCCACCTCCCTCTGTTTTTCCCACTGCTCCCGCCCCTTTCCCACCTCACCCTGTCATTCCTACTGTTCCCGTCACTCTCCCACCTCCCTCTGTCAATCCTATTGTTCCCACCTCTCTCCCACCTCCTACCGTCATTCCCACTATCCCAGCCCCTCTCCCACTTCCCTCTGGTCCCGTCTCTCTTCCACCTTCCCCTGTCGCTTCTGATCCCGTCCCTCTTCTAACTTCTTCTGTCACTTCTTCTGAGATCACCCCTCTCCCACCTCCCTCTGTCATTCCTTCTATTCCAGCTCCCCTTTCACCTTCACCTATTGCCTCCTCTGTCACCCCTCTTGTTCCTCTCCCCATCTTCTATTCCTGCTCCCCTCCCGCCTTCACCCGTTTTTCCCCTGGTCACATCTCCCTCTGCCATATCCCCGTTCGACCAATCTTCCTGTGCCACTCCCTCCACTCCTGCTTCACCCTATCCTCTTCCCATCACCCCTTCCTTCCCAGTTTCAGCTTGCCCTCCCCTTCCAGCCTCCAATCCCATAGTCCCTTGATCTTTCATCACTTATTTCCGCCCTCTACGCTCATCTCCCTCAGCTTACTCAGACCCCGTCACCTCCAGTTATGACTATCACTTCCCCTCCCAGCACCCTTCCAACCATTTCCTCTTCCACCCCCTCACCCAGTCTAGTTCCTGTTTCCACCTCCCTCATGGCGGCTCCCAGTTACCCAATCATGATAGTTGGGTCGAATGAATCTGTTGCATTGGAAGAACCTCATGCTGTAGGCGCCTCTCCTGCTGCATCAGGCTTTCATCCCACTACCTCTCAATTAGTTACTCCCCAGGCCATTGCTGTTGGTTCCCCCAACTCCAGTTCTCCGGCCGCTCAAGCCCCTAATTCACAAGATGCCGCCAGCTACCACGGTCTCCCGTTCCCGATTCCCCCCAAAGATGACAACGTGCAGAGGCTCAGCCCATTCTGCCCTGTGAATCATAGGGTTTCCCAGAGACAGGCCACCCTGGACAATCATATCCACACCTTATCAACTGTGGAAGGGGCTCCCCCAATGTATGTTACTTTCAACCCATCCCAAGCTGCAACCCTGGTAACCTCCCTCCCCGACCCTGAAAAACACCCCATACCCTTCTTTCGGAGGATTGCCCAAATTCGCAAGACATACTCAGCTGCCTGGCGCGATCTGTATAGTCTGTGTGAGATCAAAGCTGGGGATGCCTATTGGCCCATTATGGAAAGGAGTTTTAATGACGCTCTCCTCACTACTGATTTTCAGTCGGGTATCACATTCTGTGAACAGCTTTGGGCCTGGGCCCAGGATAAACTAGCTGACCAAGCCACTTGTATAAATTATATTATACAAGATAAACTTGAGTCTGTGGAGAAGTACTGTGACAGATTCATCTGCGTTGTTGGTTCGTCTGTTTCCCTTTGTTCGCGGAATTGCCTGTTCCTATACCCCCGTTCGTGTATTTGCAAAATGCCGATTGAAACTACCGAACGAACGGCCACCCAGGAGAGGAGTGTGCTGCTGGTTAACCTCTTGGCCCCAATT